AATGCAGTCAGCTGATCTGTTCCTGTGAGTTTCTGTTGCCAGTTCAAATATTTGTAAATGGCTCTTTGGTGATCATTTGGTTATACTGTGGACCTTTTCATACTGGACCTCTGTTTTATCACATACGATGGCTTATAACAGCATTTCAGTAACGTTCTCACTGCGTACAGACATTGTTATGAAGTAGCTGAATTTTTTAAAGTATTTAAAAGGATTTACTTTTGCTGTTTCGACAGCAGGTCCCAGTACGCAGTATGTGCTTTTAATTAGCTCACACAAGTGAAAGTCCACATAGCAACACACTTAATAAGCAGAAAGCGTGGCCAGCTGCATTCACATAATAGTGAATAAATTAGAAAGTCAAGCTGCTTTTGCAGGTAGCCTTTAATAGCTTGTTTTATAACCAAGGTTGTCATTATGCTGTGTACTGCCCTCACATGGCCTTCACCAACAAAATTATTGGCATCTTACAATAATGGCTTATGTAAATTAACATTTGTATGTACAGTGTAATTATCATAAGCAAAGGTGGGTTGTTCAGGACAGACCTTGATGCATACTTTCTTAACAGATGTTCTCCCCACCCGCGACTGCTAACATATTCCCATTGTACACTGCCTGTATCATAAACAGGGTGAGAAAAGGTGTCCTTCAACCACTCACACACACACACACACACACACACATTAGAAGCCCTCATCTGAGTGTAAGACATCCAAACCATCCACATATACAAACAGTAAGAACACATTTAAAGTCATTTCTTGTTTCTGAAACGTGACTTGAACAAATGCACTATATTTTAATCAATTTGTTTTGAACACATTTAACATTGCTGCCCTCATTCATTCACTTAACCCAAGGTCAGGTGCTCTAGCTTCAATTAAGTTTAAAATACATTTCATTAGTTGCTCTTAAGTGCTGACTGTCATTATTTGCAATTTGCATGAATTGCTGGACTTTGAAGCTGCATAAATTTATTACTGAGTCGCTTGGGACAGCGGAAAAGCCATAAATACAACACTGACGTATTATCAGCCTGTAATGATAAGCACGTGAGCAAATAGTTGCCTATTCACACATCCAGCAGACACATACCAACATTATCCTTGATTTGGAGTCATGCTGATAGTGACCTGATGGATGGAAGTCCAATATTCACGCTCTTCCTTATTCTAGTTTGGTCTCCACTAACTCATGGGAGAAATATCTGACTATTTGACCGCTAAAAGCTCCTCTATGTTCACCAGCTAGCTGCTTACTTTGTCAGTTTGACTTTTAGTGCAGGGCAGGTTGTGTGCAGTGGGTTAACCAGGGCATTTTTTGTTGTTGTTGCTGAAAATAGCTACCTCTTGCTGCTGGAAATAAGGAGCATCAACTGCACTGTTAACTGTGGCTGCTTATGGTGAGGCAATGTTCTTCTTTTTTGTTTTTTTTATGCCTGCTACTGAATTGGACTCTGGCATTACGCTTCCTCCACTCACATTGTCAAAAAAAATGTTTTTTGTAGTCAATTTAACCCATGGTTAGGCCTCTTTCACCAGTGAAAGTTTGAGTAGCAGGAAGCAGAAGTACTGTTGCTATGGTGACCAGCTACTTCCATATCGAACAGTGGACAAACTGCAGCTATTCTCCAGCTATTTAATTTTATTGGACACCTACAGTAGTTATAAGTGATATACCAACACTAAAATGGACAAATGTTGGCAGTGAACGTTATGCAGTTACAGAAGTATTTTACTGCCGGAAGAATGGCCTTTTCATAAAACTGTGTTAAGATACAAATTGGTAGAGAAACAGCACTGTGAAACTGACTTTTGCTCAAAAGGTAGAAAACCTACAACTACCAGAATGCACTGTGCCACACCAGGCCAATAAACACAGCCCTAGAGCCAGTGAAACTCAGCTAGATGATGCAAAAAGCAACAAAGTATCCCTTTAAAATGCATATGCAACTCAAAATAGCTATGTAAGCTAATTTTTTATGTTACCTATTCATTAAAACTACAGTAGGTTACTCTTCTGATGAGACCCACAAATGGGGAACATTATTACAACATTACATAAGAACAGTATCAAACACCTAACAGCTGTGATGCTCATGCACAAGAATACAAATGAACTGGAGACCGCGCAGACCCAAGTGGGGCCTGAGATCAGTGCTGCCACCTTGAGATGTCACATAGATAACATGCACTACAGCCTGTTGGAGTATGTGTATGCTTAGGCGGACAATAACGTAGCTTTTTTCATGTACAGATTCCTCTTCATCTCACTGTTACCTGGGCTTTCAGCTATCACTCTTGAGCTGGATCTGTGATCTCCACACTCTAAAAGGACTTGTTCAGTACGCTGCAGATGTCTGGTCATAAATATGAAACATGTTTGATGGTATCGTGGAAGCTCAGATGTCTGAGTCGCTCAGTCTGGAAGTGATTGAATTTCTAAACTCCTCACAGCTCAGCCGTCGTGAAATCTTTTCCAACTATACCTACCCAGTGTAACTATGGTGTGTTATGTGAAATTGTGTTTCAAAGTCATTAAACATGTGTCTGATTCAGCCACAAATAAACATTTAGGACATTGAGGAAAATGCTAAGATAGGCAACTTGTTATTGTGTTGAGAAGACAAAAAAGCTGCTCTCCATCATCGTTAAGTGATAGGATAGGATGGTAGATAGGCTGCAGCTGAGCTGGTGATGAATACCACTCCGAGTGTGTATCTGACAGGTTTTTGTTGCGAACATCATACTCTCAGCATTTCCAGTGGGGTCATTACAGATGCAAATCCCAGTCGCAGCGGTGTTTTATGACACCTGTTCTTGTTTTCCAGGCCGGCCCCGGCAAGTGTCCCGTCGAGGACTTGCAAATCAAGACGGAAAACGAGAGATAGGCGGACAGGTAGGCCCGCTCAGCTGTCAGCGTTGTCCCTCGTTTCCCTTCACTCCCCCTCCTTCCTTTACCTCCCGATCACAGCTCTGCCATTTGTGCTCCCATCAGTCATTTTCATAGCCCCATCCCTCTCCCCTTCTCTCTCTCTCTCTATGTTAGATGAGGACATTGCACCCCACCTCTGCCTGATACTTGAGCATCTGCTTCATTCTGCCACCGGTTGTCTCTGGAGAGTTTGATGCTCACGGGGGTTCTGTGTGAATTGGGTCAAAGAGCTTCCTCATTCCCGTGCAGATGTCTGGCTTCATGCAAAGAGAACATGTCCCAATAACATGTTAAGGAAATGCAGTGCCATAACCACAGGTAAGTAGTGCAACCATGGAATGCTAACGGACCCTGCAGTGCCTGCCAAGCACTGCACTTGTGATAAATTCAGAGGCCTAAAAGGCAGGAATTATATGTAAAAAATAGACCTACATCACTGTTATCTGGCTGGATCATAAAATGGGGTTGCAACAGTAAAGAAGGCCCAACATCCCATAGTTGAGATGACAGATTTACCCTATTTGTGGAAACTGGTGGGAAAGCTTAATAGTGCAATTCAGGACAGTTACACTAGAAATTGTCTCTATGTGAAACAATTCTGCAACTAACAGTGAGTGTCCATGCCAAGCAGCAGCCTCCGGGGCTGAAAAATAAAGCCAGTGCGGAACTTCCTTGAATGGCAATTTGAGGCCAACTCCATAATCCAGTCATTCCTCAACAGACCTACATGTTAAAATGCCCAACTTTAGAGTAGCCTGGTACAAAAAATGGTTGTGGTCTCCATTGCTAATTTCAACATTTATTCAACTGTACGAGGGGTGAATTTTGATCTAACTCTACTATTTACATTTAAACAAGACTTAAAGTTATGCATATTTAAGGTGGGGGCCGCTTGACTGACAGGCTGTCTGTGAGGCATTGCTGCAGTCTATGAGTCAGATTCACCCCTCGCTCCTCCGAGGCTTCACCCTCTTGTCTCTGGTCACTTCTGGCTCTAAAAACCGAAGCTGGAGACAGCTGAAATGCTGAACTCTTCAACTATGGTGAATGCATGAAATAATTTGTCTATGATGTAACAAGACGGAAAGGAAAGGTGATAGGGTAACATTGTTTATTTGTCATAAGCATGATTATGCTTTACCTTAACTAAACCATGTAGAAATATTAAGGAAAATGGGAATTTGAAAAATGTTGGCATTGAATGTAAAAACAAAAACCAACAATACAGTGATTGAACAGAGTTTTGCAAAATTGTCCAATAATATTGTCCAATAGTTTTTGTCTTCAAAACAACACAACATCAACCATATAATTCACTGACATCTAATGAAGTAATGGTGTAATGGCTGATCAGTGACTGAGGTATTGTATCAACCTCAACTTTGTCTCACAGACATACATGAAAAGACCATGATCTCTAAATTTTAACACATTACATGCCAACACCATGTATTGCAGTGCTGCTTCCACGGAAACAATGCCAATGGAATGTCAATCAGAATCCTTTGTCATGGTGGACACACAAATTCGCTGGTCGCGCAATGGACAGAAGTTAACATTACAACCTATAGGTAGTATAAAGAGCAAGAGACTCTGTGTAGGTTGGGTTGGCGGATGGGTTGAACAAACACAGGACTTTCACCCAGGAGGTCGCTGTTTGTGTCCCATGTGAAACTAAAAGTCAATGCTGACTTCTTTTAACTTTACACACTTGTGTCCTTTGGGTAGTTATGTCATGTTATGTGACTGCATCACTTAACAATGTACCTACATCCTTACGTAAAAAAACGCTAACCAAAAATACAATGTTTTTCTAAACGTATGCCACTAGTTTTGGCGTATACGCCTGACCATAATGCAGTGTTAAGAGGCTGTGGTCATTTTGTGGGTTTCTATGAGATCAGCCTGTACTGGTAGGTGTAACTAAAACATCCAACCAGCAAGCTCATCATCGCAAACATTTTAGTAATCACCCCTTCCTCCTGTCACATCAAACTGCCTTCCTCTCCATAATTCATAGCCCATTGATTTGCACTAGAAATGGACCCCTCACTGTCCTGTTTAAACAGAAAACAGATCTCATTAAATAATGACACATTTTCATGGGACCTTTATTGAAACGGGAGAAAAAGAATTAATAATAACTGTGGTTAACCCTGAGAAATACCATTGTGCAGCTGGTATGCTTTTGATCTCATTTTTAATCACTTATGAATAACTGTTTTCATTTTTTGCTTGCACAAAGCAGTGTGCTTTGAATATGCAGGATTATTTTCCCTCTCAAATACACAATTTTCATGTCTGCTTTTTGTTTTTTATATGTAATTCTCAGATTCTCTTGTGTTTACTTTCCTGTGTTTTTATCCATGTAATAGTGCCACTTTTTTGCCTTTTTTTTTTTTTTTTTTTTTTTTTTTTTAGCTTATTTGAAATAAGACTGCAAGCTAAGAGGCAGAACTTTTGTCAAGACCACCTAGGTAAAAGCCAATATTAAGTCCAAGACTGACTACAAAAGATTTAGAGTCAAGTCACAGCTCTAACATTGGGCTTTAGGCCCATTTCATTTGAGAAGTGTCCTGTCTTGGAGTCCATGCTAAAAGCAGTGACATCAGCAACCATCCATATTCTGACTAATATCAGAGATATCAAAACTCTGAGTCTTCTTTGAGTCTCTCTGGCGCCAGTGTGTGTAATAGGCAAGATCAGTGGCCAGGAATAAGACCAAGTCAAAAATCCACAAGAACAAGACAAAGGTCAAAAGACAATAGAAAAACATATCTTAAGACAAGGCTTTACAGTCTCAAGGTCTTTTCAGACTTAATGCAAATACTTTGTGTAAATGAATTGCAGAAAAAAATAACCCAAGTATCTCTATGAGCCTATAAACACCATATCTAAATGCAGGGCCTTTTTTGCTTTTGCAGCTGGTTCAATTCCTGTGAATTTTGGATCCCCATAAAAACAAGCCAACAAATAAAATAATAACTTATGCTTACTCGATCAATAACATTTCTCTGATGTCACCAATATCATAATTCTATAATTCTGTCATTCACACTTTCAGACACCAGTTGATTTATTTGGTTTCTCAATACGGTGCCCTTTTTTTACAAACAACGTGAAGACAGCACATATAAAAAGAACTTCTGGGGAAGTCGGCCAAAGCAGTTGAATTTGATTGTGATGGTGAGCAGTCCACAAAAAAGGGGTAAAAAAAAAGTGTTGTCAAGGTAAAGTGTAGAGAATCATTGAAGTCGCATTCACTTAAGTCACATTTTGCTATGCACATAACACGTGTCAGAAGTTACATGTAGTTGTTGTGAAAGGTATACTATTAAAAACTGACCTTATGGGTTAAGCGATAGTGTTAAATTTACAGTCACCTAATGATCATGTGATGGTAGGAACCTTTAATTATCAGTGAAATCCACAAAACACAAACATTTGTGGGGGGGTTTCTATATTCAGTTTACTGCTTTCAGTTTAATGTGTTGCTATGGCAACCTTCAAGTAATGGTTAACTTACTGTCGGGTGAACAAAATGCATTTCATCCTTTTACCTTTATTGGTATGGACTTAATGTATGTTTGTGAAATAAATACTGCGTACTTCCTATGGCTGTAAAATAATGTTGCTTATACTGTACAAAATTAACAGAGACCTGGCTACCTCAGTTTAAAATGAGCACACTTGTCTGAAAACTGCACACATCCAAAGAGAAACATAAATATCTCAGAGCCAAAATTCAAACCCAAGCCACACAAATGTGCAGGGCTAAAGCAGCATTATCAGGGCAGAGTTAGCCATGCCTTCCTGCCTCCTATCACTTTGCATTGTAAACTAATCATTTGCTTAAAGTTGTTTTATTTAACCTTTATAAGGTTTGTGCTGTTGCTGGCTTCAAAGATCACAGTCATCCAACTATGGGAAGCAACAAATTGGGGTTTTTACAGATGCAGTGCTGAGGTAAAACTTTTCTCAGTGGAGGGAGTTTGACAAAGTTAGGAGTGAACGCTGACATTTCTGTAAACCCTGAGCCTGCCTCTTCTACAGCTCGACATGCATGGGCTTGTACCTGAAGGGTTTGTCAAGTAGGGGAATAGGAGCCTGAGCAGCTAAGGATCAGAGTGTGTTGTTTTGCGCATATTTGATCAACAACTTGCAGTTTCGAAACATACTTCATTCTTTTTTGGGCAACAGAAAACACATGTTGTAAGTATGAGCTCCAAATTGGCTTTAAGCTTTGAGACTTTGGACAAACTGGTGGTCTGGCACTGAGGATTCTGAGACTGTTGAACATTTTGAATGTTTTACTTCCCCTCCGGTCTGCCTTGTTCTTTGGTAATGACAGACTTTCTCTGATCTCACCCAGGCAAAAAGCATGTTGCTAAAATAAAACTGGGATGTGTTTTGCGGATGGTTCTCTCTTGTCTGTGAGTTTGTGAGCAAGTGTTCCTGATGGGGCTCCTGTGATCTGAGCAGTTTTTATTGGAAGTTTCTCCCTCTGTGTTTCTGCATTTCGCTGTGCTTCTCAGTACGCCTCCAGCTCTCTTCTCCTTCCTTCCTTCCCTCCCTAAGAAAACATGAAACAGGTCCAAAGATGAGTGAGAATTCTTTGAGCTGAATGTGCTCTGTGCTCTATATGGTGCAATCCCAAAAAAATATGTGGCTGCATTAGGATAGCCTTTCCTCTGATGCCTTGTCCCTTACTTCTGAGGGACTTTTTGATAACACATCTCTTAAAAGTACAGCTCAAAGCTGCACTGTTAGAGCTGTCAGAACTTGGTAACGTTTTCATACCACTTCACTGGATGAACTACTTTTAAGAAATTAGTTTTGTTCTTATCAAGAAGGACATCAAACCTAGGAATTCAGTGATTAAGGGGGGCCGTATTCAGGCAAATTAGCTTAATCTGTTCAAAGTCCAGGAACTAGAAATTTTTAGATAGTTTTCTGGCTTTGAAACATAGCAAAAATCTGTTGCCAATCTGTTGCGTTGCGGGAACAGAGTAGGTCAGGGTTTGCCCATCTACAGACAGTTTAACTGTGTTTTACATGTTCATTTAAAACAGGAATTGTACCAATATGTGCTTTCCTAGTCATCTGTAGCGCTCTGTATTCAGGGCGATTCAGGGCCCTCATGAATGCCCCCCTATATAGTAGCATTATTCAGCTAGTGTTAATAGCCACATTGGCCACAATTAACAACCAAATACAACAGCCCAGATGCCAGAAAAAAACGTTTGCATTGTACATTTCTGTGAACCAAGAATACGTTGTATTTGTTGATACGTAGCATATCAGCGTTTCTAAAGTAACACAGCATATGAGCTGATTTTGTCATTGGAATGTGGAGGGGATGGTAAGGCAAGTTGGCTGCCAAACTGCAGGCCACTGCTTCAAACCAACAAAATGGTTGTTTTTTTGGCGATACTTTGAAACATCACAACCTGGGTGTACATGGCTACATTTCTCAGCAGCGTTCAAGCCACCAAACCCAGGTGTTTTTCACTGACCCACTGCAGCATTTTCCAGTGGTGTTTGAGGTTTTGAACCTGAGTGTTTTTCACCAACCCAACCCTGCTTTTCTGGCAGCTTTTGTGCCACCAGTCGTGGGTGTTTCAAGCCAAAACATGATCATTGTCAACTATAACCAAGTGGTTTTTATGCCTAAACCTAACCACACCTTCACCACAGCATTGTTGAGAAATGTAACATTTCTATGTATCAGCTACAAAATAATGCACAAATGTAACATTTCTGTAGTTTGCAGAAAAGTAAAATGCAGACATTGTTTTTGGCAATTAAGTTGCCGAATTATGACATTAAAGTGAGTCAATTTTCTTAATTGAGCCCAGTGTCTACAATCGCAAATTTCCTTCAAGGGGCTCTATAATCTGTACAACAATAACTGTGGTGTGGATGATATAAAAAAAACTATTTGTCCTTGTATCTCTGTAAACTCTGCAAAGATATATATTTTTTTATTATCAAGAAATGTGTGTAGCCACACACACACACACACACACACACACAGACACACACACACACACACATCACCACAGCTCTTCGTAGTCAGTTGGACAGCTGTCACAGCAGAAAGAACTGTGTGACACTCAGTCAGCAGTGTTCATTTGTTGAGGCAGGCTGCTGGACTGTGGTGCCTGGAGCAGTCTCGTTCCAGGTGCTGGTGCTGATGACTAGCTGGCGAGGTCAGCCCGGTGCTGCTGGCTCAGTGACATACCAGATAGAGAAAAAAAACAAAAAAATCCAATGCCATTATCAGGAAGTCTTTGGTGTGTTTTTGGTAGACCACCAATACTGAAGAACAGTTACATTAACAGCTTGTAAATGTATGTAAACTGGCTGATTGCAGGGTGTCACCCAAGATGAAACACATGCTAAAATATTAGCCACTATAGTAGCGTTACTTCCTTGTTGACAAGTGGTGCTGAGCTGCACCCACAGCCAACCCTCACTGCTGAGTCTGGCTTAGCAGTAGGGAGAACTGCTGTAGTCTTTCACATTAATGACTGCTATTAATATATGTATTTATCATTACCTCAGACAAAAACATGCAGTCTTTAAATATTCCTACAGTATTATAAGCATATGATTCTTCCGTGCAGTATGCTTAAAAACACTGTGGCTTCAGCAGAAGTCTGGGGAGTTGCCAACAATTTGAGATAAAGATGATAAAGGCTACCTTTCTATGTACAGAGGCTGCTGTATCTGCTTGCCTACAGTGCATATATATATATATATATGTCATGGACATATTCTATATAGTAGTTTTTATCTCATCAGTAGATGTGAATAGCCCTCTTGCACATCCACTCTAACCAGCCTCTGTGTCTGTCAGTGCAGATGCTAGTTATTTTGCTCCTCTTTTCATTATGTTCACTTGTTGTAATTCCTTGTATTACATCCACTGCTCTGACTTATTCTTATCTGATTCTCTGCCTCTGCTGCAACGACCCAGTTTCCCCACAGGGATCATTAAATTTTCATCTAATTTAAAAGGATTTCTGAACAAGTAAACTAATGACAAGGGGATACTGATAGTTTGGCTGTTAGCTGCCACGCTGACATAAATCAAAGTCATTGCAGACAAGCTACAATTAAACTTACAGAAACAGGATTTTCAGTAAAAAGGTTTGTGAACCCAATCTGCACACTGGTTTAAGTTTTTCCCAAAGAATATTAAAACTTTATTAAATTATTAAAGTAGACCTTGATGTACTTATCGAAGCACAAACACATTTTAATCATAGTCTTATGTGTAATTATGGAAAGTAACCATTTTCTCGTGATAATTATGAGGTATTGAAATTTAAATGAATGCAATTTTACAACTCCACATTCATTTTAGAGATATAATTACTTTTGACTTTACAGATTTTACTTACTGAATGTATGATCACCTTGTAAGAAATGTTGTTTTATTGCAGTTTGAGCTACCTAGCAATCTATAAAGTACCTAAAAATGAAAACTAAAAAAAATAAAAATGAACATGAATAAAATGAACTCCACCCCGAGCAAGTGCAACATTAAATGCTTTTTAATTTATTAAGAATGTTAATAACCCAATAATATATTACATGTAATGGCACTGCAAAAGGGGGAAATCCAACATAATCTGTATTTACAACATATATAACATTACACTTTGAAACAGGACATTTACTTACATATGTATACTTTTTACTTAAAGCTGCATATTTTTAGGCCACTTGAGGGCAGCAGAATAAGCTGTAAAAGCGACATGTTATCACCTTATAAAGTTGATGTGGACACTGAGCAACACCAGCATTTATTTGTGTCTCTTGACCTCCTGCCTGATAGTCCAACATTCACTCATCTTTTAGCTCTGCTTTTGTCTCCACCAGCTCTTGAGAAAAATAGGCTATTTTGCTTCTTAATGTTCCACTATGTTCATCAGATAGATAGATAAACTCCATATGGTATCATTTAAGTGGAGTGTGGCAGCTCTGATCTCAAAGGCACTGCACAACAAAGTAACAAGCGGCCACCATGATTTACCCTCTTACAACCTAAAACTGGCCAGGTGCTAAGAAAAACAGGCGTTAAGAGATGTTTAAAGTAGAATTGTCCCAGCCATGTCTTTTTACCTGTTTGTAGACCCTTTTACGGGTCTTAGCTAGAGACAAAACAATTCTCCACAGACATTAGCTAGCACTAGCTAGCAAGTTCTGTTGGTTTGTTTTCGACAGTGGAGGAAGGTAATGTGAGTGGTGCATTCATAAATATGCACTACCGACCGGAGCACACTCTGGCACAAACTGGAATTTGTGGTTGATTTTGCTATTGAAGCTAACGTTAGCTAATGTGCTAAAAAGATCGCATTATGAAGAAATCCAGTATTGCTCTTATAACCTCCCCAATGTCTGATAAGGTGGCCATGATAACAATTCACATAACAATATTCATCCCTACAACAGGAAATACTTTTCCCCTAACCTGATATGAAGTGTGCGCTGCACAGTTTTTTTGATGATCACCTTCGTCCAGTCCTTTTTTTCTTTTCGCATTGAACTGTAGTTGTCTTTGTTTTCGTTGGAGGGCAGTGGAGGCTGGTATGCAGTAAAATTCAAGTTTTGAATCAGGACTCTTATGTAGTCTACACAGTCATGTTTTGCATCCAGCTAATAAAATGACATCATTGTGGCATCAGCCCTAAAAGGGTCTATGGTGCATTAATAATTTTGGTAATTGCCCAGATGTCCCTGTTGATTGTTTTTTTACGCTTCATACCAACCCCTGATTGTTTTGTTTCCAAACAGCAGAGGACACATTCATACTAGTCAAGGAAAGACTCATGTACCCCTTTTCCACCAAAACTAGCATGGGTTTCTTGAAGATGGGAAAACCCGCTAAAAGTAGATTACAGACTCCTTTACCATTTCCAGTCAGTTAGAGCTGTTTACTCGGCTCTGCAGCAGATAAGCATGTCTTTCTGTTTCTTTTTCCTGGTGTATCATATTCAACGCCATATTTCATAAAACGGGTTAGTAAACATCAGAAAGCAGCATGGAGGCCAGTATAAAAGTTACCATTACTTATTTCTAGATATCTCTGACTTACTCAGCCTCTCTTTTAAACTTGGTGCAAGCTTATTTGAAATGATGTTTGCGCACTGCTTTGGCAGAGACAGGCGATATTTTGTGGTGACATGTCATGGCGTCTCACTGGTAAAGGGGTTAAAGTATGTTAGCGCATACAACCGGGTGTGGTATTTCCATCACTGCCGACTGGAGCTGGAGCCAATAAATATCCTTTTACAAACCAGAGTTATTACTTTATGGAATTTCTTTCAAGTCATATTTGTTTTATTAATATCTATACCAAATGTAAAACAACTTTTGATTGCTATTTTTATGATCTATTTCCATGGAACTGTGGTCAGGAGGGAACCCACTTCCAGCGGACAACACCAACTATCTGATACCTGATACTCAATTAAGTGCCAATATGTGAGTTGTCATTAATTTCATCCTTTAAAATTAGAAATGCAACAGAATGAGGTGATTGTCATATTTTCAAAATGATTGATTTATATCAGTTAATTTAAGAAATGACACTTTGCTCATACTTTGGGGGAGTACCCATCAATCATCTATGACTGTGATGTGATAAGAAGATAAAAATTTGGACTTTCAAAGTATTTACTTATCGCATAGGGATGCAGCTCTGTCCTTTACACAATATGTACTTCACCTGTTTGACCAGTACAGGTACATTTTATGTCATTTTGCTCCACAGGGCTCCTGTTGATGATGTTGTGGCATGGGGAGAGTCAATCGACCATCTTCTGGAGTGCAAAAGTAAGCTCACTTACGGATTTACTCCTCTCACTCTTTCCTCAAACACCACTCTCTTAGCTCTCCATCCTCTTCTTTTCACCCTTGCAATTCTCTGCTGCTCGGCCCCGCATATCATCTTGAATTGCCCTCAGGCTTCTTTAGGGGGATCGAGGATATATTCTTCCTTCAAGTTCATCAAATCCATTTGGAGATATATTTAAGGAAGATGACACTGGCAGAGATAAGAGGCCTAATCTGAGCTGCCCGGGTAGATGGGGTGATTCCAGCCAGCTCTTATTCATTTATAAAGCTGGCGCTCACTGATGGCTTTCACCTGACCATATTCCCGGCCCCTATTTGAAAATGACTAAAGGGGCAGATGGGTTCTTTCTCTCTCTCTTTCTTTCTGCTGTCTCTGCTCTCATTACTTTGCTGAAATGAATTCAGCTGATCTGTAATATTTCAGCCTCTTGTCTCCTGCGTGAAGATTAACTGTCCTCCATAAGATAAATCTGGTCTTGCATCCCAGTTGCGCCATTTCCCTTTGAAGAAATGCAGTGACACATATGAAAAATTGGTAAACAGTAGCAAAAAATAAATAGTTGTGCATGTGTCAGTTGCAATTTGATGGCATTCATAGACCTCTTACATCTCGTGTGATTTTAAAAGGGTCGACTCCGTTATGATCGAAAGCTCGGATAATGGACGAGAGTGATTTGTAGACGGGAAACAAGCTGCCCCTGGACATATTTTGTTTCCTGTCAATTACTGTCAGTGCAGCAGCTGTGATTTTTTTGCAAAGCAATTTGTGTGAATAACACCGGTGCTCCCAGTTAGCTGTTTGTTTGTGCTCCCAGAAGACGTGCTAAGTATTTTACACCTGCGTTGAAATCACAGCTGCATGAATACTCCCGTAACAAATGTAATGGGTGCGAGGGGAAGATAACAAGAAATATAGGTGTGTGCAATTATATGATGCTGAGGCAGTGCACTTCGCGATGCAGGGTTTGGGTTTTTGAAGGTTTTGAAGTTAAAAGCGCCTCCAGACATCCACCACAATACCTGGCAGTTTGCTGCACGTCTCTTTGTTCACTGACTTTCTTTGAGCTAACAAGGACGATGTTGAGGTAGAGAGAATGTGAGTGAGAGATAACAGAATGGCTTAACCTTTAGCTACAGCTCATTGCTCTTGTGATATTCTCCGAAAGTACACAGATTCATTTTTTATTTTAAAAGAGAGACGGTTATTTTAAACCTTTTTTCAACTAATGGTATGTCCCTGTACACGCACGTGTTAAGTTTCCTTTTGCAAGAGGACACTGACCACAGCAGTTTTTATGGTAAACAAAGTCCCATTGCAACAAATACAAGGTCAGAAATATTGTGTAAATACAAAGTGGAGACAACAAAAGGAAAAAAGTCTCAAGCATGGAAGCTGTCTAAACTCTTGAGACAGACAGACAGACAGACAGACAGACGGATAGGTAGATATTTTTTACAAACAAAATTCACAAGTGGTTCTCTCTTCACAAGTAAAAAAAACACATTTTTGACTTCTTAATCCTAAAGCCTTACTCTATAAGATCTTTGGATCTCAAACATGATACCAAAATTAACTTAAGTGAAACATAAAACTATAACAGAGTTATTGTAAAATTAAAAGTCCAGTGTGAAGGATTTAGGGATATATTCAGCCCATCCTCACTCTGAACTCGTCAAAACCGCTGCTTTGTAAGTGATCTTGGCACCAGACGCCTATGCAGAGAGGCACCCTTCAGAGAGGTATGACACACACTGGGCAGCGGCTGTTTCTGAAGCAGTGGGCAACAACCCAACTCGTCAAACACTGCTGCTTTGTCATGTCAAACACAGGTGTACAGAGGCACCCTTAGCAGCGGTAGATAACACGCGGTGCCGGCAGTTTGTGAGGTCGCCGGCATCTACCGTACATATAAAGACCAATAAAGTCCATATAGGGTCGGTGGGAGGGGAGCTGGTTGGGTCACCCATACTCAGGACTGTCATTCAGGTGCCTGCTGTTTGTTTCCTGTATGAAACCAAAAATCAATGGAGTTACATTATTAAGACTGCCATGTGCTCATATGTGTAGCATGCAACGTTATTAACATATATATGTGTGTGACTTCCCTCAGTAACAAACATGTTTCAAGCCAAATCGTGATGTTGTTTTTGTTTGTTTGTTTGTTATTAGAATGAGCTGTTTATATTTACTTAGGGAGTGGTTCCTCAGTTACAAGGATCGTCCTGTTAGCTGCCATGTTTCTACAATAGCCCAGAACGGACAAACCAAACACTGGCGCCAGACAGGGCTGTAAGCATTTTGCTTTTTCATGCTGGCCACCATAGTGAGAAACTCATCTATGACAAGCAGCATCAGAAAAACACTCATTTCTAACATGAAACTGTTTTCACTAGTTTAAAAGACCAGGTCCATTTGTTTTGCAGAGGAAGAGATTTCTGCAGATAATTTAGCTTACGGCAAAAACCCTCTGAACAATGAACACTGAAGGAATTCTGACCAAAAATTTTAGCTGGTTGCAATTTGCAAACCTCATGAGAGATGCCAATAAAACCCCCAAAACCTTACATAGTTAACCTTTAACATTCTGTTCACCTGATCGTCATCATGATAGTTTGCCAGTCCCTTAGATTTAATCATTTTTGTTGACATATTTCAGCACAGCAACTTGTACACTTCAGTAGTTGTCAGAAAATTCTCTGACAGCTGCCTCAGACTCTCAATGCAGGTCTCTGTCCAGTATCCTCTGTTGCACTCGCACTGAAATATTCTCTGGTCTGATATCTGGATGACTGTCACATCCCCCTTGACCACCTCTCACATTAGTCAGTCATTATTTAGCTCTTCAGGTCAGACCATTCACTCTTTCAGTTTGTGTCTGTCACAGGACAGCACTGCTCCACTCTAAGTCTTCGAGGTCAACTAATACCACCACCGCTAGCTATGGCTGAACTTGACTGCTGATTTCAGTGCAGTATGAAAGTCTCTTTGCTCTTTGCTAGGTAGCAATATATGGGAATTCATCAGGCTGCAACGACCAATTTCCACCAGGTTTATGCAGATAAAGGAACACATCACCCGCAAAATGACCTTTGTATAGTTATTCACCATGTTTTCTTGAATTCACGAAAAAAACTGTTATTTTTGCTTGTCTCAAAGGTGCACAGAGAATCCAAAAAGGGTGAAGATTTCTCATGAATTGCAGTAGTCAGGGACCACATTTACCAACCGCAAAACTATATCAAAACATCTGATGATGATGATGATGATTTAAAACATGTCAGTACAAAGTTACATGCACGGTCGAGTAGCGTTCCTGGATTGAACTCTGCTCAAGCTCATACACGCTTAGGGCACACAACCTTTAGGTGGAAGTGTTTAATATTGAGCAGAGTTTAAACTTACATGAGTATCAAGGCACTATTTGGCCATGCATGAGACTGTGTGTGTGCTGGTGTGTTATAATTGTAATGTTTTATATTGTAAAACGTGGCCCCTAATGAACAATGTTTGCCTTTTTTGGATTCTCCGTTCACCATGGAGGCATGCAAGAAAAACAAAGTTTTCTTCACAAATTCAGTGTAACATGTGGTGAGTTATTGATATAAAAATGATCACTTTGCAGGTGAAGTATTCTTTTAAGAGAGTTAAGTGAGTCAGCTTTAAACATTTGTATGATCAAAACCACAGGGACTGAGCTTTAGAATAAGAATACAAAAATGTTTATGCATGAGGCCCAGCGTATTAATATCACAAGATGATAACGACCACAATTATCAACAATAGTCATAATTGTACAGAGCTTGGAGCAATATTTTATGTATTTGTATGCATTCATGCATATGTATACTGGATTTGGTTACACTGCTGTAATGCTAGAAGAACCAGTTTTGTATTTGTAATCATGGCATATTTTATTGCACGCTAGACACTGTGTAATTAAGGTAAAAGAAGGGGGTGGGTGATTATGGTGGGTCCTTAAAAACCTTGTAATTGAACATCAGTTGAATGTTTGAAATGAAACAGTCCAGGTTTCAAAGTGTTCCTGCTTCCTCTGTGCAGCAGGCCAGCTGGTGTTTGAGGACTTCTTGAGGACAGAATACAGTGAAGAGAACCTTTTATTTTGGCTGGCCTGTGAAGACTACAAGAAAATGACCAGCAAGACAGAAATGACGGTTGCTGCCAAAAGGATCTACACAGAGTTTGTCCAAGTTGATGCGCCTAGACAGGTATGGCTTTTGTAGAGTGAGACATGAATGAAGTCAGACCAGTGTAACTCTGAATCAGCCTCAATTCCCAGCTTGCTTGTTGTCACTGTCACGCCTCCACAATTTCATTCACTTTTACTATGAAACACAGTGATTATAGGCCACCTTCACTTTCTTTGTTGCTCAGTGCTACACGGTTTTTCTTACACCTTTTGAACATACAGTTAACTTTGTGTGCAGAATAATAATGTGAAAAGCATCTCCAAATAGAAAGAACTCATGAGTGAAATAAAAGTTGCTGTTTTCTGAACACAGATAAACATTGACTGTGTGACAAGAGGAGAAATCAGTGAAAATCTCTCTCAGCCGGAGCCAAATTGCTTCGACAGGGCGCAGAGACTGATATACGCTCTGATGGAAAACGACTGTTATCCGCGATTTCTGAAATCAGAAATGTACCAAGCTCTCCTGGAACAGGCTGAACGGCATTGAAAGCAACGTGAGGAAAAAAAAAAAAAAGAAAAAAAAAAGCTCGTCCAATGCCTTTATGAATGATTGATTCTGCACTTCAGCCGACTCTCTTAAGAATCTCTGTTTAAACAAAAAAGGCTCGTCTGTCAGAGGAAGCAGAAGTGAAGGGAGATACAGAGCTGTCGGTGTGAGGACTGACAGGATCTAAAAGCCAAACATGATCTAAATAATGTATTAAACAGCTTTTGAAGTCAATTTTTGTTTGGATTGTTTCATATTGCACAGAAAAGGCCCGTAAGTCAGGAAAAGGCTGGAGAGTGCTTGTTTTGTTTTTGAACGGATCAATATCAATGTCTGTGTCCATGATGAAACTGTCAACTGCCCAATATAAACCTCAACCCCAGTATCTCTTAAGTGTGACATCATCAGTTAAATTTTAATTTATATTTGAACCTCACATTACATGTAAGATTAAAAAGCAACATCCTGTGTGTTGGTATATAATCTAAAAGCCTGTCATTTACTTGCATGTCTGAATAACCAGCTGACAGCACTCTATTTGTCTGTGATGTTTTCTGTGATCTACCACTCTTGTAATTTTGTTTCTGTTGGATACACATCACATGAAAGCACAATAACTAAACAATCTTTAAAGCATCTCATACTCCCTGCTCTTAAATAAGTTATTTTGACAGTAAATATTGTGTTTGAATTAAAATTCTTCTGTGTTGTTTTATTATTTTTTTGTTGGACAAGTCCTGCAGCTGTTGTAGCTGATTATGATGATGAAGTACAAACAGATTGTAGGGTACACACATCCAAGAAATTTCTACAGGTGCTGGATCAAAAAGCAGACGGATGGTAAAAAAACAAACTGGCAAACATGAACATGATACTGATAGCTTATTTTATTTCACTTAAAAAGTTTTGATCTGATCTTATCTTTAGGTGTTACAACAAGCAATATATAGACACAAGCATCACTCAGGTGGATGTGATCTGTATGACTTAAGATTGGTCTGCTCTCAGTCTGGATCAATTAGAGCAGAGCCAGACAAGAGAGTTTGATGTTTATATCTCACGATGTCACAAGCATGACCTTCTCATCCACGAGTAGCTGCATTAATCTGCTTCCATTATTTGTGAGAAAAGGCAGACATCTCTTTGGCTGACATCCCCAACACTCGGCAGGTCACACCAAAATAATCTAGACCAGTGGTTCCAACTGGTATGTCGCGGTCCAAATGTGGGTCATGGGCCCATTCTGAATGAGCTGCAAGTGACTTTCTAATGTGTCAAGTTTGTAAAACAACGCAGCTGCTTGACAGAGACAGCAAACTAGTATGACGCTAAATGTAATAAACTGTGGGACCTCAAACTAATGACTACGGAGAAATCTGGACCCCATGGCTGGACCAGTTGGGAACCACAGATCTAGACTGATGAATAACACTACAGGTAAGAGGGAAATTTTTTTTTTTTATTTAGGAGTCTACCTCCCTTCAAGTTTTGGGAACAAATGTAGTTTGGAGGGTGTATAATTGAGCACCTTGATACTACTGCCCCCCGTGGCATAGTCCTTTTTGCAGATGAATGAACTTTGTTCGTAAAGCGCCTTTCTTGCACAAAATGAAGCACAAATTAATCAATTAGTCAGTAAATTCATTAAAAACATATTAAAATATTAAAACAGATAACTGCTAAAAAGACATGATTTGAGTCGTTATTTAAAACTGTCCACTGAGCCAGCAAGTTTAATGTGTAAAGACAGGGTGTTCCATATTTTGGGGGCGTAGTAGCTAAAAGAAGCATCCCCAAAGGCTTTTGTAGTGACATTAGGAACAGTTAAAACAGCAGCTGTGGAGGATCTCAGGGTTTGTGGAGAGACATAAGGTGATAGGGAGTGTATGATATAGGAGGGGGTGAGGCCATTAAGAGCCTTAAAAACCAAAAGAAGGATTTTAAAATCAATTCTGAAAGATAGTCTGAGCCACTGTGGGTTACCTAAAATGGGAGTTATATGGTCTCTCTTTCTAGTTTTTATTAAAACCCTGGCAGCAGTATTCTGAATGGTCTGTAGTGTTACTATGGCAGTTTTAGGTAGGCCAGTGTATAGGGTGTTACAGTAATCAAGACATCTAGAAACAAAAGCATGAACAAGATTCTCAGCATCTCACTGGTTCAGTAGAGGTCATACCTATATATGAAATATTATACAACAAACTGTCTGAGGTGAATATTAGCCCCATGATTTGTGAGAAGATTTCCTCACAGGAAGGAGGCAGCTTGTCCATTCAAGGTCCCTATAAAGAAAATAATGACATAACGACATCTGTCCCTCAAACTACGTAAATAGATTAAATAGAATATATTAACTCGAACCAATAAGGTTTCATAATTAAATTTTGTGTTAAAAATTAAAAAAAGAGCATATAATCTGCACCAGAATGATGATAACTGTGCAAGAAGAGTCTGTTAAGAATTGTATTATTATACATCTGAAAACAATGTCAGTGGATTCAACAATGATTTAAAAAGGCAACAGATAGCATCTTTTTCTGCAATCAGGGACTGAGTGAGTCCTTATGAGGAGTTGGGCATGAGATAGTTGAGTCACGAGCACAATGGCAGACAGACTAAGTTTGAAGACAAGTGAAAAACGGCCTAGCAAAAGAAAAGGAGCTCCTCTGTCTGAGGAGGCAAAGAAGAGCAAAAAGGAGTGTGATAAAAGAAGAGGACAAACAAGAGTAAACCTCAGTCAGGCCTTCAAGAGATGGAGGGAGCTCTGTGACCAAAGAGGCTTCAAAACCGATGTCCAGCTGGCTTTCTTTCTAATGGATCAGTAAGTAACACGGCTAAATGTTAACTAGACGAGAGAGGACTGTACTGTAGTGGCTGCTAGTTAACTCCTAAGTGTAGAAAGTTTCTTTTTACCAATCGAATCCTATCTGTTGCCTCTTTAAAGGAGCTATATGTAAGAAATTTAAAGCAAATAGTCGTAAAATCCTCCTAATATGTCACAGAGACTAAGGAATAATGTTCATATAACATACTGATCTCACCGACAACAATAGTACAGCCAGAATATTTTCATCTAAAAAATTTTTTTGCAGTCTGCAAATCATGTTTATGTTTTGAATTTGTGTTTTGGCCTGTTGCGCCACCCACCGCCGTCTACCAGTCACACAGTCAGTAGAGTCTCAGCATCAGTTACAGTTACGACTGAGCTACAGCAGCACGGCAAGCAGCATTAGCAGCCAGCTCCTCCTCCGCTGTATCCCGGCAGCAGCGTTAGCAGTGTCCCGGTACATAGCATTAGCAGTGTCCCAGTACATAGCATTAGCAGCCGGCTCCTCTTGAGCTGTATCCCGGCAGCAGCGTTAGCAGCAGAGAAGCTGAACTTCCTCGAACAGTCTGCTGGAAAACCTAAGATCAAGGACGCGGTTACGCGGCCCTGCCACAGATTTGTGGGCAAACAAATCTGTCTCCGTGCCGCGTGCCACTGTCCAGCAACCTCGAATCTGTAGGGAGGGGGGGCAGACACGACTCGCGGCAGTATTTTGAATTTGAGTGCAGTAACCGTTTTGGCCACATTCTTACATACAGCGCCTTTAAAGAAAGAGTGAAAGGGTAAAAACATGAAATAAGACCAACACAAGCCATGTTTCCATCAGCCTGTTTAGATGCGCATCTAGAAGTATCACATCAGAAAATTATGATGGAAACGCCAAAATTCGAATTAAAATCCCCTGAGTCGCACAAACTAAAATACACTTGCTTTAGCCGGGTTTTGGTTGATTCGCAAAACAGGGGATGGAAACAATTATGTTCGAATTAAGTCTGACGCAGGGCACCTCTCTCCATGGTGATATCCACACTCCGGGTCGGGAAGGCGGTAATGCATTTACAAGCTGGTTGCCAACCGCCAGAAAACGTAGAAGAAGAAGAAGAATGCGAGATTTGTTTTGTTTCCGGTTCTGCGGAAAACTCGCGAGTTCATAGTTTTCACCAAAGTCCGTACATTTAATGGAAACACACAGGATTCGTATTTCTTTTAATACGCATTTCCCAATAATTCAAATCACTTTTGGATGGAAAGAGAGCTACAGCTGTGCAAAACTGACTTACTGTCATAACGATAGCCAGCTGGTCATTTTAGATCCTGCCATTCCCTCACTGTCCAGCAGTTGTCCCCAATGTGCCCCCACCTTGGTTACAAGCCACACCTGCTCCCCTTGCCCTCATTAGCTTTCCCCTGCACTGGCCTAACCCAGGTGTTAATAACATTAGCGATGGCTCCATTCTGTGCATTTGTCCCAGCGTGTCATGACAATATATCAATGGACCAAAAAGCACAAAACCAGGACCCTGGAATTGAAGCAGCTAAATGGAATTTAGCCATCAGTATTACCTACACTTGTGTGATTTTCCTGACTGACTCTTGTCCAGTATTGGACCGAGCACATTTGATGCCTAAGACAATGCCCCCACCCCCGCCCCACCTTCAAATTCACCAAATTGTATGCCCTTGCTCCGCTAAGGACAACGAAATCAAGACAGACAAAGCCATTTCCTTACTACAGCAGTGGCAGCTGTAACACTCTCACTGTGAAGAGAGAATGTTCGAAAAAAAGTCAACATAAATGGAACGCTGATAAAATGCACGTGTACCACAGTATCATGAAGCACTTCATGCTGAAATATGGGGATGAGATTGAGATTGTACGAAGCACTTTAAAGGGAAAATCGTACATGCTAAGGTGCTCTTTAATGTTATTGATGTAGCTGTTAAACCCACTGCTAATCACTGCACCACAGCCTGCTATGAAAAGTAAATGTTTTAGTTATTTACAAAAAGAAATGGAGGATAAGACTCCAGGGGCTGTTTCACAAACAGTCTAAAAATAAGATCTGTTACTCAGCCTAAAAAATCCCAGCAAGCAGTCTCAGTTTTTAAGTGAAGTATGTTTAGTTCTGTGGACGAGTCTGATATGATGTTTGTGGAGATTTTCTGTAAGGAGATAGTGGAAATGGCTCAAGGCTTTTAATCAGCATGGTCTCTCATCTGCACTATACTGCCAAACCTATGGGGGTCTGTAAGCAACAGTGGATTGCTGATAGTGACCCCAACATTGCAAAGACCATTTTTGTCAGCTCTCAAAGTACAAACATCCGCTGGGAATGAATCAAACTGAGGTTACCAAACCGCATCTATGGCATGATGTTGAGATTAGGATCAACCACAAACATCATCCCTATGTATTCTAATTTTAGTGATTAACTAACTTCCTGTTGTTCAGCATTTGTAGAAGAATTCTCCTGTGTGCTTTTTTAAGTTTGATGCTAATGCTTTAGATTTTTATGTAACAGTAATGCATTTTGGGCAATATGCTTAATCACTTCCTCAGATGAGATACCACTCTCACATCATGAAGTAGCCAGCAGCAGGTTAGTATAGCTTAGCATGAAGAAAAGAAGTAGGGGGAAACAGCTAGCCTGGTTCTGACAAAGGAAACAAAGTCAACCTATCAGCACCATTTAAGTTACAAAAGGTTACAAACACAACTTTAAACATGGTCACAGTTTGGTTAGGCACAGGGAGAAAAAAATATGTGGTTAGGTTTAGGAAAAAACATGGTTTTGGTTGCAGTAAGTGTGTTTGTTATTTATGGTACATAAGTACGTTGTTACATCCCATAACATCACACAACTACATCA